TGTAGTTCGGCGCAGTCGCGCGGAGACGGGCGCTACGAGTGCAGCCGAAGACGTGCCCCCGCGAGCGCCAGCTGGAGATGCAAGGGACTGTCCTCCGCTTCTAGGGAAACGGTGCTGCTCATCGCACCGCGGCTGCTCTCGGCTGCTCTCGGCTGCTCTCGGCTCCTCCCAGCTCCTCTCGGCTCCTCCCGGCTCCTCTCGGCTCCTCCCGGCTCCTCTCGGCTCCTCTCGGCTCCTCTCGGCTACTCTCGGCTACTCTCGGCTCCTCCGCCCATCGCGCCGCCGCGAGACGCGCGCACGAGCGGCGCCGCGAAGAAGAAGGAGGAGCCGCGGTCATCCTCGTCCTCGTCGTCGCCCTGCCCGCCTGCCGCCGCCAGGGATGTCGCCTCCTCTCCGCCGCTGCGCAAGCCGTGCTCGCCGCCGTACGGCGCCGCGGCCAGCCCCGCCAACTCGAGGCCCGTCGACGATAGCAGCCCCGCAGACTCCTCCGCCTCGAGCCGGGGCGGAGCGGACCTGCAGGCACACTCCGAGGAGAAGTGCGGGCAGGGTCGGAGCAGGCTCCGCCTCGCGTCGCGGCGGAGCAGACCGCTCGGAGACAGCGGCGAGGGAGGCGGCGAGCGAGTGCGCGACCTCGGCCCCGCCCGACGGGTTCCGCCTGTGCCGCCCGCCAGCCTTGCGCGCGCTGCACGACGAGGGCAGCAGCGCCTCCCCGTCGTCCTCGTCGGAGGCGGAGCTCTGCTGCCGCGCCTGCTACGGGGGGGGGGGGGGGGGCAGGGCGGAATGAGGCCGGGGGGGCTCGGGGCGGACAGCGGGCCGCCCGAAACTGACGCGGGGGGGTCGGGGGGGGTGGGGGATTGGGGAGGGATGGGGGCTCGGGGACTGGGAGAGTTCAGGGGGGGAGAAACTTCAGGGACTGGGGGACTAAGGTGTCCGTGTTCCCTTGCTGCCGCGCCTCGGCCGAGCCACCCCAAGGGGCCGGGCCAGCCGCCCCGGGGTGCAAAGTTGGTGCCCCGACCAAACCGGAACGCCGGTGCGGCGCGC